AAAGTAAAGTAAAGTAAAGTAAAGTAAAGTAAAGTAAAGTAAAGTAAAGTAAAGTAAAGTAAAGTAAAGTAAAGTAAAGTAAAGTAAAGTAAAGTAAAGTAAAGTAAAGTAAAAGCTAAGCTATTTTAATAAAGTAAAGCTAAGCTAAGCTTTAGTAAAGTAAAACTAAACTTTACTTTAATAAAGTAAAGCTAAGCTAAGCCTTATTTTAGTAAAGTAAAGCTAAAAAAAAAAGTAAAGCTTTACTTGTACTCTGATTCTTGGGGAACCTTCTGAGAAAAACGACTGGGACTTGAACTGCAAACTCCTGACAACCCAAACTTTCATCCTGGAGCAAGAATGGGAAATACCCTCACAAAGCAGCTCCTTTTGTCTTCCTTAACCAACCTGGTGATCTACATTTCTAGAGCAGACCCAAGCCTTGGCCCAGACTAGCCTGAGAATCCTCCGTTCATCATCTGGACTTCTAAGCTTTCCAGCTTTCTTATCACAGAGTCAGAATGTGATACTTGCATCCCAGAGACCAACCTTCTGCTCAGCGCAGGAATCCAATTAAGGATCCCAGCTAAACTTGTCATCTGATAACTGGTTGTTGGTCTCATTGGTCTCAGAATGGTTGTCCCTATTTTGCCTACAAATGATTTGCTTTGCTTTCCTGTGCAATGTTGATACAATACTACATCAATAGGTTTGTTTGCTGAAGCCCCACTAAGGCTCTACCAAGACAAGGGGAATAGCGTGGAAGACTAGGAATGGGAAACCAACCAAGACTCTTCCACAATCCTCCAAAGCAGGCCTTTATTCCCACCCTAGACCCAAACCTGGGGCCAAGAACTGCCCATCAGCTCTACTGCTTGCAGGTCAACCTCCATTACTGCAGTGTCATCAAGACACAGAACAAAACCAAGTAGTATATCATTCCTTTATCTGCGAAAGCTGAACTGAGTATACAGAACTTCCAAGGCAATACTGGACTAATTTCTGGACTAGATGATTTCATAACTGCTTTATCTGCAATATTTCCCCTGCATGTCAAAAGTTGCACAATTTTCCAGCTTACGATTTAAAATTAAAAGTTTCTCTCTCTCTCTCTCTCTCTCTCTCTCTCTCATTGCTTTTTTAAAAAAATGTTGATTAAAAATCATCTACTAAACAATGTTGACTTTGTAATTTTAGTAAATCAATGTGCACAACAGCTGGTAACATGGTGAAAAGAACCCATGCACAGAAATGTAAGACACACATGCTTTCTCTTTCATTACCATATTTCTGCCTGTATCTTTTTGTTGGGCTGCTTTTATAATCTGTGTTCTTAGAATAAGCACCTCTTCCTTCCGTACTTCCAACTCTTCATTAGCTGATTTGAGCTGATTCAGGAGGAGGTTGTACGTGTCATGAACATCATTGGAAGAATTGTTCTGGGCCACACCATCCACTACAGCCTTCCTTAGTTCGTTTAGGTCATTTTTCAGTTTCTTGTTCTCAGATTCTAACTCTTGCCTCTATTAAAAAGGATATTTGAAAAGTAATTCCCATTCCATACACTTCTATAACTAATGGCGTGTGTGGGTTTAACTTATTTAAAAAACACAAATAGAAGGTCAGCTAGATCCAGAGAGGTGGATGATAAAACTCAGACAGATGGGGTGGGGGTGGGGGACATTTAAATGAATGTTTTAGCTCCTCACCACCTCTTGGATATTCCAGCTGGTAAAACAAAGCAGGTGGTGAGAACATGCAAACCACATCAAATACAAGAGACAGACTCATCTCCCAAGTGGACTTTTCTCCTACTGTTTTCAATGGACAGTGGTGACAGCAACACAACATTCAGAAGTACCCACTGATTATTGCAGTTAGAAAGTGCAAAAAAGGGCAGAAATCTGAGCTCTTAAAAATACACCATTGTTTGCAGTTTAAACTTGAATAGAGCCAGAAGGAAACCTTTGGACTTTGTTTTGACTCTTAGTCGTTCTTTCTCTTAATACAGATGCTCCTGAGAAATTGCTCTAAACTGTGAAATGGGAGAGGAATATCACCCTGCTTTACCCTCAATGGATTCATTTTCTCCAAAATTGAGGAAAACTCATTTAATTTGCCATGCCTTGTTTTGGGGCAAGTGAGATCCATATGTGCCAGAAATTGAAAGTAAAAACTACAATAGACTTCATGACTGATTGATTTCACATCACAGCTTGTTAGGGACACTGCAGAAGAAGCTGCAACAAACAGAAAGATAAGGCCCCAGGACAATTCCATTGACTAAGAACTCAACTTGTTTTGTTCCTCCTTTCGTTGAATTACTTCCATCCCAACTGATTATTATGAAAATGATCTAAGTTAAGAACTGGTCCCTTATCTTGTTTTTCCCTTTCTTCCTTTGGTATAATGTCTTTAAGATGTAAGACATATGGCAGAAACTGACTTCTGGAAGCCCTCTAGGCTGAGTAACTGGTTAAAGTGCTTTCAGTAAACAACAATTCATTATCACATAAGCTTTGGGGAATTTTGTGGGTCCCATGAAAACCCTGGTGATCATGAATCTTTTTTGTTTTTGCTGCAAAAGAATAACACACCTACTTCTCTAGAAAATTCAACACTACTTAATTATGCTTTGTCAGTGAGTTTTGTCTCCTATGACCTCCAAAGTTCTGTGCCAAACTTAGCCTCTTTCACAGAATTTGATTTCCCAAAAGCCTCACTTTTCTAGTTTGACCAATGACCAATATTTGAAATGGACATCTTCCTGATTTCTGTAAAAGAATTGAGCCAAATTCCTGCTTTACTCTAAGATCTCTCCATGTGTGTTCAGGGTACCAATCTTCTCCTTTTGGCTGGTTCTTGCTCTCATGCTCATTCTTGGCCCATTAATTCTATAAGCAGCACAGACTTACAATTATTTTTTTTTTTGGTGCCTTCGAGTCAGTCTTGACTCCAGGCAACTGCCTGGACAAGTCCCTGCAGTTTTCTTGGCAAGATTTCAGAAGTGGTTTACCATTGCCTCCTTCCTAGGGCTGAGAGAAAGCGACTGGCCCAAGGTCTCCTAGCTGGCTTTATGCCCAAGGCAGGACTAGAACTCACGGTCTCCTGGTTTCTAGCCTGGTGCCTTCACCACTACACCAAACTGGTTCTCACTTGGAAAATAGAAGCTTCCTATTCTTAAACGCGTGGAGAAGCAGAAGAGGATGGGGGAAAGACAGTGAAGGAAGAGGAGGCTCATCGATTTACTTCCTCCCATACATTCATTGTTTATATTTATAAAATAATTTTATTCTATTGTTTCACCAATGACCTCTATCCACTCTTTTGACTTTTCTTCGAAGAGAAAGTCTCTTTCAAATTCCAAGCACCACTGTATTAATCATGAGCATAATATTTTTTTTAAAAGAAGTTCAAAATACAATCATTTCACTGAAAACTATTTAGGTCAGTAAAAATAAATAAATAAGAAGAAACAGCAAATTCTATTTATGCCTTTGTCCTTAGGGGATTTTGCACACAAAATGGAAAAAATCAGTAGTTTATGATTTAGGAAACGGACTACACTGTCAAAGGAGGGAGAGGAGATGACAACTTTCTGCAATCTGTGTCTTCCAAATGCATTGGGATTAGAACTCCAAGAATTGGGAATGGTTCCAACATATTTGGAGGGCACAAAGATGGGAAAGGTTGGACTATTATCTGTCTTGTCTTGACGTCTAACATCATTTTATCACCCAACTGGGGCACAAATTACCCCTTACCTTACTCTAACTTTGGGAACAGACTACTGATCTGTCTACAGCATTGTTTTGAGATTTCAGCTCCAAAGTTATTCATTTGCAGTGGTATCCAACCTTCTATCTTACAACTCAGAGGAATATTAGTTTATAAGACAAGAACTCCCATTTTTGGTAGCAGGGGAAGTTGGATTGTTGTGACTGTCTCCTGAGTCAAAAGATTGGGTCTTTTACACATTAGTGTTAATGTTTTTATTCATGATTCCCAGTTCTATAGGAACACCATGTAGTTGTGTTTTAAATTGATTGTAGATTTTTAATTCCAGCTCCATACTGGAGAGTTCTGCACTGTTCAAAATTGGTGGGTTGTAAATCAGAAATAAATTCTAGACTTAAATGCTCTGCACATGCTCAGATTCCCCTATTCAAAGTAACTTTGGTAATGGCTGGATTCAACCTTGGCTCTGAAGAGACATGCATGCCTTGGGGAGTCCTAATGAATTCCTTTAGGTCTTTGTATTTGATATTGCAGCAGTCATTTCTATGGGCATGGTTAATATTCAGCAGCAACATTTCTTAAGAAGAACAGTAGGAAATTGACAGTCAAGGAGAACATGTTCTTCTGGCTGAATAAGACAGATAAGAGTTGCTATGTCTTTTCTTTTTCATGCCTTCTTTCATGGGTCTCTACAGCAAGACGGAACAGCGCTAAGATCCAATTAAATTATTATTTCTTTCCAAACCAACTTAGTATCCTTCCTATCGTTTTGTCAAATTCTGAGTTACTAAGTGCCCAGAATGACTTTGAATCACGTGCCTCAGTTGTGGCCCCAAAATCCTGGAATGGAGATCTTGGAACAATCCAGCTAAAATTTTCCTTTAGCATCTAAGAAAGTTAACAGAACAAAGAATAGAGAAATTCCCTTTCAAATTGCAGAGAGCAACATCTTTCTCTGTGTTCAGGTATCATGCTGCACTTGGTGTTAAAAAGTGGCATGCCTTGCACAAGCATAAACCAATATGATTTGAACTTCTTTACTGTCTTTTACCAATCAAATGATGTTTCTGAATATTTTATTAAACACCTGTCTCTAATTCTGCAAGCTTCTTTATTTCCATATTTGGTAAAAGAATCCAAGGAAAACTCCCTTCTATATGTATGCATGTTAATTCCACTTCCTAGTTAATTAGTAGGGTGTACCCCTACTAATAAGATACCAAGAAGATTGTAGCCAATGATATAAAACAACATGAGAATACATAAAGTTATAGATATGGTTAAAATGAATTGAAACATCAGAAGCCTTCTTAAACAGGACGTTTCTCCTATGGGAGGCAGCCGGCCTGCTTAGATTTCCTCAGAAGACCATTTTGCAAAAAGAGGCCTCCATCCATGCTGTTCCAGAAAAGAGACCCACCTGAATCTTAAAGACATAGCGATAAAGGGAAAACTTGTCCTTTGTTCTAGATGTAGCTTTTGGAGGGCTGTCGAGCAAGATGTCTTCAGTGGAAGCCTCACCCTGAATGGATTCACATACACCCCCCCCCATCTTTTCACAGCCCTCACAGTGCTCTAAACACATCCTGTATCAATGCTCAGAGGAAGAAGGCAAAAATAGTGAAGAAAGTAGCTTGGTCTCCTCAATCCTGTCACGGCTTGTGTGCTTTGAGAAATCAACTGAAGAGGCAGTGAACCAAGGAGCCGCAGTGCCAGGGGTATCTTGGCATAACGGTTGGTCCCTTGCAAGAACTGGGCTAAGCTGCAAAAAAACACTCCCCCCCCTTTTTTTCCTGGAGCCTATTAAACTCAGAGTAGTGGAAAGCTGAACCGCACTCTTCCCAATTCAAGAAAAGGAAGACAATAAGTTAGTAAAGCATGAACAGATATTTTAGAATGCTCCTTCCAAATAGATTCATAAAGACTGATAACAGCAAAGCTCTTGCAGATTACTAGCACCATCACCAGATGAGGAAAAAAAACTGGTTTGGAGATTTCTTTTACCTTCAGGCTGTTGTATGCTAGATCTGTATCTTGGTCCAAATCCATTTCATTCTTCATTTCAATTACCTGGATGGATTAGGAAGACAAGAAAGAGACATCTGATTTAAAAACCGGTAACAGTGGACAGATTTCTGCTTGCAGGCCTGGGTCACCTTACAATGCCTGTCATTTGCTTGCACGGCACTTTGGTCATGAAAAGGATACTGAAAGTAAGGGGTGTTTATGAAAACAGACAGATCTGAGGACAAGATAAACAATGACATGGGATAACAGGAATACAAGCAAAGGGATTTCCTGATTCCTTGTCCTAACTATTTCCATTATTTAACAATACCCGATTTGTTCATTCTATTCTTCCAGGCGCAGATGATTAAAGAAGCAACATTGGATACTGAAAGCAGAGACTTCTGAGATTGCAGAAAAAAATATTGAATCAAGATTATCCTTCATTTCTCTCCTAATTCAAGCAAGCCAGAAGAACTTCCCAAAGTTGACCACAACAAGCAGGTATCAGTGTAGCAATTAACTGATTTATTTAGGGCCAAGTTTGGAGACGGATGACTATTACAAATTATTTTTCATAAACTTTATTTATAGTCACAGACACTTTTCAAAGATTCATTGCATTGCAAAGTAAAATATATATGAGTGACCCAAAATTTTGTAAAATCAATACAAAGTACAATCATATACAATAATAAAAGGGAAGAGTGCCGATTTTTATCCTTCTACACTTTCTGCTCTTCTTTGCAAGAACCCTATACTAGCACACTGCCAAACAGAATTTTGCTGCTTGCCACGAGATATTTTAAAAAATATAATTCTACTAAGAATTTTAATTACGGTAGTAAAGAATAATACAAACTAAACTAGAGAAAGAGAAGAGAATGGAAAGAAAGAATACAACATGCAGGGAAAAAAGTAAAAAGAAGGAAAAGAAAGAATATAATAAAGAAAAAGAAAAGAAATATATAAAGAAGTGACTTCCAACTACCATCATAACAAGTATAAACAGATTTAATAACTCTTCACCCCCCATAAGGTTAAACAGATATATCTTCATCTCATATCCCATCCCTTATCGATAAGCAAATCCATAAAACATCAACTTTTTAATCCTGGTGTCAGCAAAAAGTCCATAAAAGGTTGAAGTGACTTCCAACTACCATCATAACAAGTATAAACAGATTTAATAACTCTTCACCCCCCATAAGGTTAAACAGATATATCTTCATCTCATATCCCATCCCTTATCGATAAGCAAATCCATAAAACATCAACTTTTTAATCCTGGTGTCAGCAAAAAGTCCATAAAAGGTTGCCAGAACATTGCAAAAAAAAAAAAAAGTCTAATTTTAACCTTGACCAAATAAACCAACTTTATTTTCCTTCCTTTTACTTTTAACAATCTTAACCTTTAATTCAATCAAATATTGTTGCAGGATTTGATTTCTCTTCAATACTTCGTTATCCCATCACAGCCTCCTTTGTAGATCTAATAAAAAAACATTTTCCGGGTCATTCTCTTAGTTTACCATTTGTATTTCCCTTTTAATATTTAAAACTTCAACCAGTTTTCTTCATATATCCACTAAACCGTCCTTTTCCAAATCATTCTCTTGGCCTGTCATTTGTAGTTCCACATTCTGTACTTTATCTTATCAGATAAATTCTGTTCCACATCTGTCATTCCTTCATTAACATCTTTTGGAGATAGTCTATCCATAGAAGGCGGCATCATTACTGACAGTGTTGATACTAAAGTTACTAACTTCTGGCTCCATTCTTCAAAGATCTTCTTTAATAATTCTGATGTTATAACGTTTTGTATCATTCTGTAAGTCCCAGTATTAATTGATATCAGGCTTGTATTTTTTTTCTTCTGCTTAAAATCTTTAGTCCCCTCTAGTATCCAGTTTCTAAAATCATCACATATCTTTTATTATGACTTGCATTTGCCAGGATAACCAAAATAAGTCTGTTTCCCATGAGAAGTTATTTTTCATAGTTAATTCCAAAATCTTATAGTAAAAGTCAATATTCCAAATTTAGCTGGACCCTCAATCAGTTTATAACTGTCTAAGATCAAAATCTTATTTAGCTTTTTGTTGTTTATTTCAAATCCTTTAAGTTTTTAAGGTAATTAATTTTTCTTTTAAAGATAAACTCACCCAATGAAGACTTTTCAAACCTGTGGTTCCGAAGGTCTCTAATAGCTTTAGAATAGTTAATAGGCACTTTCTGACAATGATTAGAAAGTGAGGTTTGTGAACATAGTGTCCTTTAAAAGGCTCCGCTGCAGTTGCGAGCAAGATGGCTAATCCCTCCATCTCCCAATGCTCAAACTGTGGCAGACCGCTGTCCTGTCATGAGGAGCAACCATCTGGAGCACATGTGGGCAATCTCCCATCCTCTACTTATTCAGAGAGGTTCCAAGGAACCAGTCTACTCACCAATCCTTGGCCATGGTCATCGGCTCTGCTTTCATAGAGCCATCTTCAGTTCGCCATATTCCCCGGAACCCGCCATGAGATTTTTTTGAGTCTTTATCTGCCAATAGTTACTTTACATAGAAATTGTCCAGAAGACCTGGTTATTTTTCTATTGGGGGCTATCACGATGTTATGGATGCCCATACAGAGCTGATATTTCATAAAAATGTGGGCCAGTATTTCTACTGCACTGCAGTGCTTCTGGAATATTCTTATCTTGATCATCAGGAACTGCTGGAGGACCATTAACACCATGGATTAGATTGATTCTATGAACTCTTATGCTACAGTAACCACTTTGTTAGTTTTTAAGATTACACAGAACTTGCAGTCCACTGCAACCAACACAGCAAATGTGACTATCCTTCTGGGATTTTATATCAATGTAGAGTTAGGTTCAGGGGTAGGGAACCTGTGGTTCTTCAGGAGCTACTAGCCTCCAGTTGTAACTGCTCTAGCCAACACGGCCAGTTGCCAGAATAATGGCACCTATGACAAGAGGTTCCCACCCCAATCAATTTGATTTTCTATAATGGAGCATATGAATGTTGCAGGGTGTTTTTCTTTCCAGTTTAGGCTGTTGCTGCTTCTGTTTTTTTGTAAACATTAATAAAAAATGCATCACAAAAAGAAGTGGAAACGCTGTTCTCCAAGGACTCCCATTGTGATGAGCATTCTGTTAAATAAATTATTCTTTTTGCACCACTAAAGCTCAAAACAAACAGAAACGACTGATGCGCAGGACAAGCAGAACTTATAAAAAGAGCCTTTCCCAAAAGGAAGGGTCAGCCACTGAAGGAGAAACTGACAAACTGGGGGTGGAGATAGAATGGAACTGCCACTGTCCATAATATGTAGCAAAAAGGCAGCTGACTTTCATGGAGAGATAAGGAATCTGGAAGCACGCAGTGACTCTCTTTTCAGCCTGTCAGTACTGATTAAGAAGCAGACATTCTGAGTGGAGGCAAAGCCATGGTTTTCTGAATCTCAAGGGAGATTATATCATTTCTGGAGAAGGAAATGTAGGTTGTCAAGAACCATCAATCCCAATTTACTGTTTTACGATTCCACAAAGAGATGATGCTCCTGTAGTGAGGCCTTCGTCGTATGAAACTGTCTACCACTGTGCCCAATCATTATACTCTCTAAGTTTCCCCTACCTTATGCCTTCCTTGTGCTTTGGGACTACAACAGCCACGTTGCCTGGAAATCCTAGAATTTGAAATCCTGATGCATTTGGAGGGTCCAGACTAGAAAAGCTCAGTGGTCTTTGCTATGGCTGCCATTGGATCGCACTCACAAAATCTAAGTGGTGGCCGCTTCTCCAAATCTTTTACCTGGAGAGAAACCAGAGCTTAACTCTGCAGGGCTGATCACAGCAGTGGGAGATGGACAAAATTTGCTGTTGGTGAATTCCATAATACTTTGCCCTTCTGCTGAAGCAGAGTAACCCAAGATTTCCTACATCCCTCCCTCTCCTGGCCTGGTAGACTGATGGAAAACCCCAGTGCACTCACCTTTTGCTTTTCTTACTCTCAGGAATCAACCTTATGCACCACTCAATTCTCAATGAAAGAAACCCCTAGGAATCTAAGTGTGGATTTATTTATGCCTCTGTTCTCCATATGTCAAGCCAACTTCCAACAATAGACATATTATGCAATAAACCATACCAACAATGACATCCTTTTTTCCTTATTTAAGAAAGGCCACCTTCATTAACCTTGGAGAACTTGTGGATGCAGGTATAGTAAGCACGTGTTTAAATCCACCCCCCCTCCCAAATATCAGCTGAAGAGAAGAAAAGAGTTGGATGTAGTTGCTAATTCTAGTCCCTGATCAAAACTAGGTTAGACCTGGTTTCAAGTGCAGTTTAAGTTCCAAAGAGAGGCTTAGGGAGAGAAGTTGTCAAGGAGAAAGAGAAAGAAAAATAGGACTCAGGAGCAGAGTGATGAGGAAAATGCAATGTTCAGAAGCAAATGGCCCAGTGATTGATTGATTGATTGATAGATAGATAGATAGATAGATAGATAGATAGATAGATAGATAGATAGCACCAATGTGTAAATAATTAGTATCTTAAAAGGAGCAGGTAGGCAACTGAAAAAAAGACAGTGAGAGGTACTGGGCAGAATATTGGCAAAGGGAAGTACAGCAAGACTCTTTCAATCACATGCATGGACTGGACTACCAATATATTTTTGAGATGCATGGTGGTACAGAGCTATATCCAAGATCAGCATTGCTGCAACTAACAATTTTTACATAATTGGGTCTTGCAATAATTGAGGAGGGGAGAAACTATTCTTTATATGATTTTTTTTTGTAGACCAGGGTATACCTTCTCAGACATTGGTTCACAAAAGTTTCTGGAAATGTTTGCTGCTGCAGAGGGCACTGGTCGTTAGGCAAATCAAAAGCAGCTTCAGCTTCGGCAAGCCCCTGATGCTGGCTGAGCCAGTTTCTTTTCTAGCCAGCTGCAGGGTGAACCGGAAAACAAAAACCCAACACTATTCCCTTTTGCAATGGAGAAGCTTAGTAGAGATTGTTGGGGGTCTGTTTTTCCCACTGAAAGGAACTCTCGCTTCACTTCTGAGCTACAATCATCTGAGCCGGTCCTGCAGGACTGTCTTGATTTAGTACAGGTGAGACCAACAAGAACTGTTTCCCTTTCTATTCCATAATGGTGCTGGGTCGTCTTGAGTTTTTTATTTCTTTCATCTTGTTCAGAGTGAAGTAGAAAGGGTGGGGGTACGGAACTACCCTTATAATAGGTTCCTGCAACCTAAAGAGAATATATTTGGAGCATAACGTCTATTCTTCCTCACTTCAGCCACTGCTTTGGCCAAAGTCATGGTTGCATAGGGGAAAATGCCTAGCTGAAAAATGGATCACGGGGTATCATGCCACCTGCAAGAGTCCCTCTGAGTGGACTCTTAAAACAGAAGGAAGTTTGGCTTGGTAGCTGGCCGGCTTCACTCCATTACAAAGACTCGGGATTTTTTTTAATGATCAGACAAATGGGCACAAAAGGCACTGAAAATACAGAAATGGGGAGTGCGAGTAATTTGTTATCTGTGAAATGTCTTACACTGTAAAAATGAGGAGATGGAGCAATATGTTTTTATATTGCCTTGATTTAATAATGTGCTAAAGATTAAAGATAGTTCAATATTAGTATTTATCCAGGACTGTGATGGACCGGAATGGAGGAAGGGGGGTGAAAACGGTGCTCTCGTCTCCAGAGCAATGCTCTGGAGATAA